GTGGAGAGTCTAGAGCCAGTACGACAGCGACTTACACACCTTTCATTTCATCGACAGCATCAAAGACCGCGACATCGGTAAGAAAGTAATGTTTACCTTGGATGTTGTAGCGCTTTTCATCAACGTGCCATTTTTCAAGAGGATCGATTACGTTTGCTCTTACATAGAAGAAACAAAAACAAGTATACGCATACCGTTGCGTGACTTGAAATGCCTTCATTTGCGTTGCACTTGGAACGTACAGTTCCTATTGAATGGCACTTACTACCGACAAAAGGATGGTGTAGCTATGGGATCGCCATTGGGTCCGTTGTTAGCTGATGTCTTCATGGCGAAATTAGAGAATACCAAGTTACATGCGGAGATCACGGCCTTTGAATGTTACCACTGCTATATGGACGACATATTTGTCGTGGCCGACCAGTTTGTTGACCTTGACGCTGTTAATGACCGTTTTAATCGGGCCCACGCATTATTGCAGTTTATCTATCAAAAAGAATTGAATGATCAGTTGCCGTTTCTTGATGTGTTGTTAACTAGAAGGGCAGACGGCTCGATCCAACGGCAGGTCTACAGGAAGAAAACCTGGAGTGGCCAATATACGAAATTTCACAGTTTCGTTCCGTTGAGATATAAGCGAAACCTAATTCTCTGTCTAACCACAAGGGCCCGCAGAATCTGTTCTGAAGACAAGTTGGATAATGAGTTGACGTTCATACAGAATTTGCTGCGCGAAAACGGATATCCTGATCGTTTCAATTTTAAGGAACATGCAAAATAAGCTCGACCTGTTGCAGGTTCAGGCAGCAGAGAAAAAAGAACTTTTCATACGACTACCCTTCAAGGGAGATGCCGCTACTGAGCATGTAACTAGAAGCATTTCAACAGCTGTCAAGTCAACTTTCCCAGCAGCCAAGCTTAGGTGTAACTTTTCAACGAAACCAGTCATTCGTATTCACAACAAAGACAAGTTACCGACGCTGACCGCTTCTATGGTAATTTATCAGTTCGAGTGCGCCTGTGGGGCTACTTACATCGGTCGAACGTCGCGGCAACTGTCGAAGCGCATTAAGGAGCACCTACCACGCTGGTTGCGTCGAGGCGATACTGGGGCTATAACTAGGTCTGTTATGGCTCATCTTGTTGATAGTAGGGATGAGGTGGACCCAATCAGTGCCTTTTGAATACTATACAGGGTCCCTCCACTCCATTCGAAAGGCCCGCGCCTCCGCATCCTTGCTACAGCCGAGGCGATCAGCATTTTGTTGTATCAACCGCTTTTGTGTGTACAAAAAAGCTGATCGAAGCTGTTAAGCTACCCTGGCCAGCCAAAACGGATCCTTCTGAGAGCAACTGTAATTGTGCAACAGCACTTCTGTCCTAGTTTGCGGTTTGTTACTGGTTCATGACTGATCGGCACGTGATCAATCTCATTTGAACTGATCGTTAATCCACTTTTCCGCCCATTGCTATTTCACTCATATGATTGTATGGGTCTGAAGATGAGTCATTGAAAACAATTGTTTGCTTTTGGTTTTTTGTTCTTGATACTTTGAGTTCGCTCGCGGTTGATGTTTGTTGCCTTTTCGAAACACAGTTGTATATCCCAAGCACCCTGCTGAATTTAACATCCCAAACTAACCCGGATGTCACACACATCCTGCCTTTGGGTTGCGACGCGGAAGCAACTGCACGGGCTTTGGCTGACGTTGGTATTCCATTAAGCAGTAAAGCGGAGGCCGCATTCTTAAATTCATTTCGTGTTAACACCCTGCTGTGTGTAGTTCGGCACAAACTTCAGGTCCTCCAGGAGGCGCTCTGTAACCTGTCTTGCTCCGTCACTAACGCAGTCTTGGTCTCAGATGGACCGGATTACTATGATTTGTATGTGGCAGGGTGGCGTAGGTTATGCTAGACTACTTATCTTGACTCAGATCACGAATATCTGCGTGCGATTCGGAGGGCCTCCGCAACGCGGAAGCATTTTAGACTCAATACTAGGAGCTTAACTGATCAGACGCCTTATCTGAAATACCAACTGTTACTGACAAACCAGTTGTCCTCTGTTCCGACCACTAACATTGAACACCACTGGAGCTTTTTGCAGTATGTAATGCTTAATTGGCGTCAATCGGTCTATAGTTCAACATATCATCCCACGAGTTGTGTCTCTGTGCGCTACATGGTATTGTTTGACTGCGGCCAATATATTCCAGTAAACTCGGACCGCAATGAAGGTCGCTGCAGTGTCGGCCAGCAACTCAAACGAAGCCTTCGCGAAGTTCGTGGGGTTTTCTGGTCGCAGCGTGCATTGGAAATGGAGGCCGCCGATCTCACTGGAAATACTCGCAGAGTGTTCCAGCTCATCGAGACTACTGGATACAGGAGGTCTGGTATCAGTGAAGTCATCTATGAGGCGGATGGGATGCAAATCAGCAACTTGAAGGGACGTATGGACAGATGGACTGCGCATTTCAAGTCTAAGTTCTGTTGTTCCTTTCTATCTACCTTTGCACCTAGTACACCCGGTCGCAGGCCATAGACGGTGTCATTAGAACCACCCACTGATGAGGAGGTTTCTTTTGAGATCCGACACCAGAAGCGTTTTAATGCTGCGGATTCGGACGAATTTCCCTCGGAATTGTTCAAGTACAGTGGCACGGCAGTTTTCAATCAGCTAATACCCCTATTCCCGAAGATCTGAAAAGTATATAGATACTCTGTTCTTTGGGAGTGTCAGTAATTCTCCCGATCTTCAAGAATGATTATTGCACTTCATGCGCCAATCGCAGAAGCGTCAGTCTGACATCGGTTGCCTAGCATCCATTATGTTCCGCTGTCTCGCTCCTACGCGTGAAACTACGGGGAGTGGGAAGTTGGTTTTCGTCCCGGTCGGAGGTGTGTGGACCAAATATTCACACTTCGTCAGCCTCTCGGACATCGCCATCTCTAACACATACCCATCAACGTCGCGTTCCTGTACATTCGGGCTGCATTCGACTCAGTAGACCGACCTGCTTTTCAAGGCGATGCCTGGTAAAGGATAGAGTGCCCGGAGAGTACGTAGCTATATGCCGGACACTATACCCCCATACTTCAGGCAGGGTGAGTGCCTACGGCAAACTTTCTGCACTCTTCCCTTTCACAAGTGGGGTGCGACAATCACTGTGTTACCCTTTCTCTTTTACTTTGCAATCGAAGACATTCTGTTAAGAGCTTTAGAAGAGCTGCAGAGTTTTGGCATCGAACTTCTTCCATATGATCGCGCAACCCGCTGAGGTTACTTTAATGATATCACTTTCGCAGGTGACAACCCACATTTCATGCATTTTGTCGTTGACCAACTGATGGTTACAGCGTTTAAGTATGGTATGTGCTTTATCTCCTCCAACTGTAAAGTGCTTTTACAGGATTGGCAATCGCCCTTTCCTCATCTCACCACGGAAGGCATTCAACTCTAGCGCATTTACAGTTTTGTCTACCTTGGGAGCTACATTTCTGTTCACACTACCATTAATGAGTAGTTGTCCCTTCCCAACGCGATAGCCCGCTCGGCTTTTGCCAATCTGTAGCGTTTGTGGCGTCATGATATTTCGCTGGCTGTAAAGAACATGGTCTACGATGCCAGTGTTCGCGCGGTACTGCATTATAAATGCGAAACCTGTCCACTCAGTGTAGTTGGCATGCGTAGGCTTACGGCCTTTGACAACGACTGCTTCCGTTGAATCGCTCGTGTATGATGGTAACATTGATTGTGCAATATATATAGTGCCCCATGCTGAGGCTGCTTTATCATCCATGATACTTCGTCACCGCAGTTAGGCTAAATCAACACAAACTAGGTATTTTAATGTGGATAAAATTCATTCCACTTTATTTGATTTGCTATACGTACTTGATCCTTTTCACCTAATTTGCACACGTCTCTCATGCTAATTGTGGTAACATTGCGTAACTTTATCACGTGGTAATTTTTAAATAACTTTCGAACATTTTGTACTTGTCGCGGATCCGCTTATAACCAATTTACTCCATATGCTAATTTAGCGAGTATTTATGTCGTCATATAGGTTTACTTTATTCGATATCTTTTATTTGATACCGGCATTTCTAATGTTTGCCTGTTTTTTGACATCCCAGGTGTGGCTGCGCTTGATGTGCATGTTGACAAGGTGCCTACCTGTCTAGTACCCACTACCTCGTCTATACTGGCTCCAGGAGACAGTTGGTCGTCGCTGGAGGGGACGGAGTGCACCGTCCTTGTGACGGTGCTAGGCTCAAAGGGTGGTTCCATGCACTCAGTGTGGAGCGGACTACGGTCCAGCCACTGCCTTGTGTGCGCTTGATTCCCCAAATACAGTGTGCTTGTGTTTGCCTGTGAAGGAGTGTGGGCCGGCTCCGTTGACGAAACGTGACTCCCATCCACATGCCTCCCGGTCTTATTCCTTTGGGTTTACACTGGATATGAGATGTGAGGTTGGAGCTGTGGGTGGTGCAGCGCAAGCCACCCATGGTCCCTCTGTAGGCGCAGGCATTCTGTGGCTGGCCACAGTGACAGGCAAATCCGAAACCGGATGCCGCCAATCATATATATAAATATATATATATATATATATATATATATATATATATATATATATATATATATTCAAGGCTCTTTACTGTGCATCCTGTTTGCCTGAGGTGCTAGCCTATGTTATCGAATAGTGAAGGGCCGGTGATCCGCGCTCAGTCAAATGCGGTACATAGCATTTGGAACCCTGCCAATATCCCCACGAAAGACTCTGGTAATTGGACTGTAGGGTTTTGAAGTTAAGGTTAGGTATCATGATTTTGCTGACACCATTGCGTTACGCCCTAACAAAAGCTTACCGTCGGCCTTAATACATCGTACATCTACATTTTTATGGTATTTTGGAACTGTACTGGAACCGAACATCTGAACATCACCATTTGAATTTCTGTTAAAGGTGTAAATGTAAGGGTGCACGATGAAATAGAAAAGATTCTGCTTATAAAGACATATGACACCATCGTTGTTGGTGACGCCGAATCAAGCTTCATAGCTGGATGAATGGGTTTGCTTCGCACATCATGAAACGCGGTGAATATCGGATGAAGGTATTTTTGGTTCATGTGCAAACAAAGACATGGAGTGCTCCGTTTCGCTAACATATTTAGGATGTTGACCGTTAGCAAACAAATCCCAAGGGTCAGTTATGGAAGAATTAACGCGACAAATGGTACGAGAGCGACAAACTCAGGCACAATGACCCGAGTTACCACAGCTCCGACAAATCACACTTTTTTCAAGGCAAGATCTACTGTTTTCGCGGCATTCGATATTTCTACAATGCTAACGATGGTTGCTGAGCATTACGTGAGGGAAAGGGAGAAATCCAGTCGATCCATTTTGGCATGTGCTGCCTTAAGAAGAAGCAATTTATTATGTTCATTGATTGCAACCCTCGCACGAACCATGTCGCACGCCATGTCGCAAAGGAGCTTATCTGCATCCTGTATTAATAGGCAATCCCTGACCCGAGAATCCGACAGTTCAAAGTTCAATTGTTGTGTCAGCATGGTTTCTTCAAATCTCTTATTTTGGACATTGTCATGGTCACATTTCCAAACAGAACACCGGAGCTGAGAGAAGAAAGTATCCAAGGTATTAGCAGCTGTCTGAGTTATCTGCGAATATTTGTAGCAGGATGTGTATGTGTTCACACGAACTCCCCAATCCTTATCCAGCACTGCTAAGGCGCCATTTAAGATGGCCGTCGAAGTTCCGGCGATCCTCTGATCTGAGATGCAATCGCAAAAGTTTTTGAACATCCTCTGTTTTCGTCACCGATGGATTAAGAACTGGTAGAACAGGATCACAGTCCGAAAAGCTGATTGTTAAATCTTTCCAAAACTGTATTTGGGATAATTGTGTATCGGTCTAGAACTGAGCAGGAGCAACATTATACAGGGACGCGGCAGTCCGTGGCGCCAATTTGGTGTGTCCGCAGAGGCAGAGTATCAAAGTCGTAACCGAACGATTGTATGAACACATAGCATCACGGAACAACGGTTTCAGATTAAGAGAACATGCATATGAACTTACGGTCGATTCAGCCAATCAGAAGCAAGGCCACGCCTGGTCCAATGAACGTTAACGGTTGGCAAGGTATGGCAGCAAATCACCACGGCCATGTGAACCGCAGGGAGAGTGGACACGACAGATGGAAAAGTGCTAATTGGCGCACTATACCATTTCCCGGCCAAGTTGTCCTCTTGGGCAACAGAAATAATCTGAGGGGGCATTCAACATGAGTCTACTCAATTAATTTGTTCCGTGCCTACGCCAGTCACTTGTGCAGGTGTGTAGGTGTGCGTGTATACCCCTTCGCCTTCAGCCAATTGGACTTCAGATGCACTAAGTCATAGGGGTGCAGGTGGGACGCTTCAGCTCCTACGCACGGAACAAATTAATTGAGTAGACTCATGTTGAATGCCCCTCAG